TGCTATTTCTTTACAAAATATTATATTGTATTTTTGTTTTCGTTTTACTATAAGATTATTTATATTTTTTTATTAATATTATATATTTTTTTTATATAAACTCCAATACTTTATAACTAAAACTAATTTAAATTATAAAATATATACTAACTTCTCATCCTATAAAATATATGTATATTATATAGATGAAGCAGACCATAATCGATAGCATTTCTGTCAATTATGTCCTATACATAATCGACAGCTATTTTTCTGTCGATTATATTAGTATAATCGACAGAAAGATTGTCGATTATGTGCTATACATAATCGACAGCCATTTTTCTGTCGATTATACTAGTATAATCGACAGGAAGACTGTCGATTATATAAATTGTCGATTATATTAGTTAAAATGACGCATAATCGACAAATAATTATAATCGACAAAAAAGATGTCGATTATAGTAATATAATCGACAGAAAAATGACTGTCGATTATAAATTTGTCGGTTATACTATGTTTTCTAGTAGTGTTTGGGGAAATTTTGCATTTCAGAGGGTTAATTTGGGTCGTTGTAGTTCGCAAAAACAGTAGTCCTTCGATGTTCTGGGTCTGGTGACTTGAGTAGCTGGAGGTGGAAAGCTTAGCAACAATTGTGAAATATGTTGAAAGTAGTCGTGAAAGTAATTTGGGAGGGTTTATTAAGGGTTGGGACTTGGTTGATTTTGGCAGAGGGAAAATAGTACTATAAGAAGTCCTGGTTTTTAAGTTTGAACCACTGTTCAAGTGGGAATGATATAAAATAGTGAATAGTAAGAAAAATCTACAAGAAACTGATGCATGTTCCTTTGTTGAAGTTAAGGCCGTCACGGGTGTGGTGTTGACACTATACAGTAAGTAAGCACCCAGAATTCATTAGGTTTGGTCAGAACAGTGAGAAATGGAGAAATTACAAAAAAGGACCAAAACCCGACATGGGTGTGGTGTCGACACCATACTGCAGGCATCAGGATTCCGACACGGACGTGGTGTCGACACCACACAGAAGGGCTAATTGACTCATGTAAATTTATGCCTTTCAAGTTGGGATGTTAATGGGTTTGGGGTACCCCTTGTACTCCTTTTTTTAATAATAAATATTATATTTTGCCGTTCAAAAAAAAAAGGCCTTCTGCCTCTGTCCTTTTTTTGTTGGGTATTTTATGATGCTGTCTAATCTATTTGAAGCATGCAATCAATGGTATAAATCTTGTTGGTTTGAACTTTTAATTTTGTATTGAGGTTGTTTCTTTGTATTAATGTGGTTGTCCAATTTTCATTTCTGTCAATAAGGATATGGACAAATTGTACTTGAGCAGAATATGTTATGATTGTTCTTTTTCTCTTTTTGTGTTTCAGAGCTAGTCCTAACAGTGATGTTGATCTGTGAGATATGCCTTGAAATCATGTTAAAGCCTTATGAAGTTGGCAGCAGATTATGAAACCAGTGAAGGTTCATAATCTGGTATATACCAGAAAATCATACCAGAAAATGCAGTCTTTAAAGGCTCACAAGTATGTTTTAGTGATGCTGTGTGTTTTGGGCTCTCTCTTTAATTACCATATTATCCTTTTGTACTTCAATAAATATAAATGAGCTTTTTTGAGGGTAAATGGGGTGAGAGTTAGTCAGCAGCCACCATAAGAGAAAACAAGGTGGTTCTTTTAGGATCAAAGGGGTTTTCTCAAGTAGAGTGAGCTTGGGTGTACTGGGGACTCCTATTGGAGTGTGGTTTGAGTGATTTAGGCTATTCAAATCTCTTGTAAATCGTTGATTTCATAGTGGATTTGGTGTTCTCCTTCTCCCGTGGATATAGCTATCACAAATTGTGGTAGTGAACCATGTAAATTGCTGTGTTTGTTGTTTTTCTACACTTTGTTTTCTTCTTCATTTATTTGTTGTGCATCTTAATTCAACTCATAAGTGGTATCAAAGCTTTGGACAAACACATACTAGGTGTTTGATAAAATTCCTAAGTGAAGTTGTAGAGTTGTTTTGGGTTGTCCTGTATTTGGTCTCTCTTCTCGAATACACTATGACTAGCACCAAGCTCGAAGTGGTGACGTTTGATAGTACTAGTGATTTTGGATTATGGCATGTTAAGGCCAAATCACTGTTGGTTCACCAAGGTGCAGGTTATGCACTTACTAGAGAATACCCAAAGTATTATGGGGAAAGAGAAAAGGTGGAAGCAAAAGATAAAGCATTTTCAACACTCCAATTAATTATTAGTGATGAGGTTTTACGTGAGGTAGTGAAGGAGACCACAACTAAGGATCTTTGGGAGGCTTTGGAGAGGGAGTACATGGGTAAATCACTCCATAACAAGCTTTATTGCAAGCAAAGGCTTTATCTACTCCAGATGCATGAAGGCACTTCCATAACTTCTCATATTAATGCTTTTACCAAGGCAATGCTTGATCTTGAGAATTGTGGTGTTGAGATTGATGATGCAACCCAAGCTATTCTTTTGTTGGCATCATTGCCCCCATCGTTTGAGAGTTTCAGAGACTCCATGTGTTATGGCAGAGAGACAATTTCTTTATCTAATGTGAAGGAGGCCTTGAAAACTAAAGAATTAAAGGCCAAGAATGAAGCCTCAACTAGTGAAAACAAGGATGAAGGCTTGGTTGTGAGAGGAAGAACTTCAAAAAGAGGGAATCGTTGCTCAAAGTCTAGATCAAAGTCTAGAGGAAAGTCTAAGTCCTATGTTATGGTTGTGGTGAAAAGGGTCACATTAAAAGGAATTGTCCAAATAGAAGGCGAGATAAAAAACAAGAGCAAAAGAGCAATAATGAAAAGTAAGCTGAAGCCAGTGTAGTGGAGGTTGATGATAACTTTGTTGATGTTCTCTCAATGATTGAGGCATCGGTCAAACCAAGGCATGAGTGGATTTTGGATACTGCATGCTCTTTTCATATTTGTCCCATTATAGAATGGTTTTCTACTTACAATAAAGTTAAGTGTGCTGATGTTTTAATGGGAGATGATCACCCTTGCAAGGTGAAGGGCATTGGTACGTTTCTACTCAAAATGCATGATGGTGTTGTGGGAGAATTGACAAAGGTTAGGCATGTTCCGGACATGCGGAAGAACTTGATCTCTTTAAGTGCCCTAGATACTAATGGGTACACTTTTTCTAGTGGAGGTGGAGCTATGAAAGTTGTTAAAGGTTTTCTTGTGGTCATGAAAGGTCGGAAGGATATGAAGCTTTATGTGCTGCAAGGCTCCACGGTTACCAGTTCAACTAATGTTGTTTCTTCATTATCGGATAAGGACTTGACCAAATTGTGGCATATGAGGTTAGGTCACATGAGTGAAAAAGGGATGACATTGTTGAGCAAGAAGCGTCTTCTTGGTGATCATAAATTTTGTAGCTTGGACTTGTGTGAGCATTGTTTGTATGGGAAGCAAACTAAAGCAAGCTTTAATATAGGAGTTCATTGGTCCAAAGAACCTCTTGATTATATCCATTCTGATCTTTGGGGTCCTTCTAAGAGGATGTCTGTTGGTCGTGCCTTATATACGCTTACTTTCATCGATGATCACTCAAGGAAGGTGTGGGTTTATTTCCTCAAGCATAAGAGTGAAGTTTTTCACACTTTCAAGCAGTGGAAGGTTCTGGTTGAGAATCATAAAGGCAAGAAAATCAAGTGTTTGAGAACAGACAATGGACTTGAGTTTTGCAACCAAGAGTTTGATGATTATTGTAAGAATGAAGGAATTGCTAGACATCGAACAGTTCCTGGAACTCCACAGCAAAATGGAGTGGCAGAGCGCATGAATAGGACCATCAATGAGAGGGTTAGATGTATGTTATCTCACTCCAAACTTGCTCAAGAATTGTGGGCAAAAGCAGCTTTTACATCAGCTTATTTGGTGAATAGATCTTCATATGCACCTATTGGTTTCAAGACTCCAAAAAAGGTATACACTGGTTTTGTTCCTGATTATTTTGATTTACATGTGTTTGGTGCACCTTGTTATGTACATGTAAATGATGGGAAATTAGAACCTAGGTCCAAAAAGTGTTTCTTCTTGGGTTATCCTTTAGGTGTTAAGGGATATAAGGTTTGAGACCTTGTGATTAGGAGAGCATTATTTCTCGTGATGTTATTTTTGATGAAAATGCTATACTTAACCCCAATGTGGATAATGGAGTTATTGATACAGGTGCTGGTATAGGAAAGGGTTCAAAATCAAAGGTGAAATTTCAACTAGGCCTTCAATCTCAAAAGCTGTCTAGTTCTCCTCCTCTTCCACAAGCTCAAGGTGGAGTAAAAGGCCATGATGATGATATAGTCGACCATAAACAAAGAGAGGAAGAAGAAGAAATTTCACAAGATGAGCCTTATTCCATAGCAAAGCATAGACCAAGGAGGGAGATTCGCAAGCCACAAAGATATGTTAATGTGGCTAGTGAATGCTTGAGTGATTATGCTTTGGTGATCGCACAAGAAATCGATTATGATGGTGAGCCTTCTACCTACAAGGAAGTAGTGTCTTGTAAGAATTCTTCCAAGTGGTTGATAGCCATGCAAGAAGAAGTGGAATCACTTTATAAAAACCACACATGGGAGTTGGTCAAACCACTTACGGGGAAGAAGATAGTTGGTTGCAAATGGATCTTCAAGCGGAAAGAAAGTATCCCGGGTGTTGAAGATGCAAGGTGCAAAGCACGTTTGGTGGCAAAGGGCTATAGCTAGGTGAGAGGTGTTAAATGTTTTCTCTCCCGTTGTTAAGCATACTTCCATTTGTGTCTTGCTTACATTAGTTGCCATGCATGATTTAGAGCTTGAGCAATTAGATGTCAAAACAACATTTTTGCATGGTGAGCTTGAAGAGGGTATTTACATGGAGCAACCAGAAGGTTTTGTAGTAAAGAGAAAAAGTGATCATGTTTGCTGGTGTTGATTTCAATGATGTTTTCTCTCCCGTTGTCAAGCATACTTCCATTCGTGTCTTGCTTGTATTAGTTGCCATGCATGATTTAGAACTTG